AAGCCAGCCTCAGCAACTTAGTAAGGCTCTGAGAAACTCAGCAAGATCCTGTCTCAAAATAAAAAATAAAAAGGGCTAGGATGTGTCAATGGTTAAGCATCCTTGGGTTTAATGCTCCATACAAAAGAAAAAAAAAAAAAAACTCAAAGCAGAAAACAACCAAAAGCACTACAAGAGGTTGCCTCTGAAAAGACAGCCTTGTCAGAAAACAGTAGGGAGGTTCCTCAAAAAATTTAAAAAAGAGGCTGGGCATGGTGGCCTATGCCTATAATCCCAGCAACCTGGAAGGTTGAGCCTGGAGGATCTCAAGTTCAAGGCCAGCCTGGGCAACTTAGGAAAACAAATATCCTCAGCAATTTAATGAGACTCTGTCCCTTCTACCCACCAAAATAAAATAGACTAGGGATGGAGCTCAGTGGTAAAGTGCTCCTGAGTTCAATCAGCCATACCAAAAAAAAAAGAAAACATAACTACCACATGCTCTAGAAATATCCAAAGGAAATGAAATCAGTATGTTGAAAGTAATGTATTCCTGCATCTGGTTAAATCTTTTTTGTGTCTCATACTGTTGTTTTATTTTTTGTGTGTGTGTGTGGTATTGAGAATGAGAATCAAATCCAGGACCTCACATGTGCTAGGCAAATGCTCTACCGCCGAGCCACAACCCCAACCCATCTCGCACTGTTCTGAAATGCTTCCTACAGATCTCATTAAGTTTATTCCATGACTTAAATATTTTGTTGCTACAGTAAGTGTTTTCCATTACTTTTTTAAATGGGCTACAGTTGGCAGACAGGAAAGTCAAGATGCTAGTTTTTTGTAATGGGTACTCTATTTAATTTCTTAAGCTCTAAATTGTTTTCCAGTTGATTTTTGTGTATTTCCAGGCACACAACATTATTATATTCTCCTTCTTAACATTTATATTTATATAATTTGCTAAATCTACCACCAACCTTTTAAGTTGAAAAAGACCTCTAGCCATTGTCTGGTGGCCTAATGTGAGTGCTGTGGTTTAACCCCCAAGGGTTCATGTGTTGAAGGCTTGGTCTTCAGTGTTATTAGTGTTGAGGCAGTGGGACTTTAAGAGGAGCAGCCATGTGGTAGGTCTATAGGTCACTGGAAACATGAAAGGGATTAATGCAGTTCTCCTGGGACCCTAGTTAGTTCCTGTTTGTTCTTTGGCTTCTTTTCTTGAAACATGATCTCACTCCCAGACACTCCTGCCACTGTGATGCCATCCACCAGTAGGCCTTCACCAGAGCTTAGCTGATGCTGACAACATCCCCTTAAATTTCCAGAACTGTGAGCTAAATTTATATCTTCTTTATAAAGATATTCAGGTTTAGGTATTTTATTATAGTAATAGAAAAATGGACTGATACAGTAAATGAACCTATAATGAGTAAATCCATCATGCCTATCATACCTATTTTCACCTATCCATTGATTTGATGACCTAAAGGCAGCCACATCCCCTCACCCCAGCTTCGTAGTTTATGGCAGTGGCATCCCACTGGAAATAATACTCCAGATCTCCCTTCTTTCACCATGCAGATACTTCCACTGAATAATCTGTAAGTTCTGAACCCCAAAGACCAAATCCCCCTAAATTTGAGCTGCTTCTCTGCCTCCTTACTTTAACTAAAATCTGAGGGCCCTGTTTTCCCCACAGACATCTGAAACAATGACTATTACTCTCTTTCACAAAAGGTGAGGTTGGTGACTTCCTTCCTTCTCTGTGTCACTTCTAAATCATATTGCCCATTGTGTTGCAAAAGCCCTATTCCTTTTGCATCTGTTCATTCTGTATACTTACTTACCTCTTTCCTTCATTCTTTACTGCTGTCCATCTACCAATCATCTCATCATTTCCTTCTCATTCACTGAGGACTTTGATATCTGTCTAAGGCTTTTCTTCCAACAAAGTAGGCATTTACATTCAATCCCTGCCTCAAAATCCCTTGCTATTTGACCTCCAATGATCTTTTTCACTCCAGTATATCCACAGCTTGGACTCTGTCACCCATAACTGTTTCACTACCAAAGTCAAACAAATTCAAACATTCTGCTCTGGCTCCTTGACCTTGTTTCAGCTACTGAATCATTCCTATTGCTATTCTTTGCCCTCACCAAGGTTTCCATTCCAAAGACCCCTCTGCTTTATCTTACAAACACAGGTCCTTTTCCAAAATTCCCTCTCTTATTCCCAAAATTTACAAGTTATCCATAATATATGTTTCTATCTCAGCCCAAAAATCCTTCCACAACAAACCTATTATTGTAGCATAAAAGATAAAAGGTACTTTCATGAGAATATTTACTGTAGAGAAAATAAGAATTGCATATCACTGGGAAAAATCTCCAAACTTTAATGTCTCCAACACTTAAAACTACATCCAGTTACTGGAACTCAAGAATATAAAGTAATAGTGCTCAGCACTAGTTTACAAAAGTCTTAAAGAAAATGTGATTTTTTTAAAAATTGAGTTCAAAGAAAGAGAATGTGGCCAAAAGGAAAGATACCAGAACAAAAACCAAATACCTTACTTCAAAAATTACAAGAATTAAGCAATTTGAATTTTGTAGGAACTATAAGCATTTGCATTACTAGGGAAGAATGAATGAAATTAGCCAGGTGCAGTGCCACACACTTGTAATCCCAGCAGCTTGGGAGGCTGAGGGAGGAGGATCACGAGTTCAAAGCCAGCCTCAGAAAAAAAAAAAAAAAAAAAAAAAAGTGAGATGCTGAGCAACTCAGTGAGACCCTGTCTCTAAATAAAATACAAAATAGGGTTGGGGATGTGGCTCAGAGGTGGAGTACCCCTGAGTTCAATCCCCAGTATCCACAAAAAAAGAAATGAATGAAACTTAAAACATCATAATTGATAATGAAAACCATGTTAAATAGACTGTATAGACTGTGCTGAAGAACAAAGTAAAGCTTGGATGTAATACAATAATCCGGAAAATAATACAGATGTCTAAGAATTACATTAACACTTTAAAAAGATGATTCAGCAGTGTGTAACAGTTCTCCCATAAAAGAAACAGCAACAGGAAAGTCAGCTGGAGAGCTGTTGTGAGACCTCACACAAGATAAGATCAGTACAGGAGTTGCAAGACTGTGTAAGACAAAAAGCAGAAGATTTATGCTGAAATGATTAGAGAAAGACATACTTAAACATATCTTGAGTTTGAAGAATCAGCACATGATGAAGCTCTTGAGAATAGTTATCATAGGAAAATTACGCAACTGTATCTTATTTTCCTTAACTATCTGTTATGGGTCAAATTGTGTCCCTCAAAATAACATGTTGAAGTCCTAACACCCAGCACCTATGAGTGTGACCTTACTTGGAAACAGGTCTTCATAGATGTAACCAAGTGAAGACAAGGTCATTGGGATGGGCCCTAATCCAATATGAAAAACAAACCTACACAGAGAATGCCACATAAAGACACAGACATACAAGGAAGATATAGCCCTGTGAAGACAAGAGACAAAGACTGACATGTTATAAGAGACTGAATGTCCAGGGACACCAAGGATCATGAGTAAACCACCAGAAGCTAGAAAGAAGCAAAAAGAGATTCTACCCACCAATCTTCAATTTCTTTGGAACGACCTGCCAACATCTTGATTTCCAACTTCTGGCCTCCAGAAATATAAGACATTTAATTCTATTTGTTTTAAGCAACCTGGTTTGTGGTCTTGGACATCTTAACACACCACCCTACCGATTCATTCACATCTCTCTCCCTGACTTGGCTACAAAATCTAAAAAGATAAGAACCAGGGTGGGGCTGGGCCCACTCTCAACTGTTAGAGTGCTTGCCTCATATGCACAAGATCCTGGGTTCAATCCCCAGCACCACACACACACACACAAAAAAAAAAAAACAGGTCTATATCAAACACTGTTATATCTATAGTGCTTGGCCCTATACACTGCACAGGCAAGCATTTGAAAAACCTGTGAAAGGAAGGAGTAAATTTCAGATAATATGGTGACAAACTTAAGTTTTGATAGAAATGTTACACAGAGCCACAGCTCTCAACCACTCATACATAAGTAGAATACCATCAATTAAACAGTACAAATAATTGCCATTTAGTCATTAAGGGCCAATATTTAACAATGATCTTGTTTTATTAAAAAGACTAGACAATATATATAATTCAAGGGAATCCCTCTCATAACTGATACACTCACTCACTTGAATTGTCACTGGGGGAGGTAAAAGTAGAGAAGCATGCTAAGAATTGCATCCAACCCTAGAATACCCAACAAAAAAGTGTTTTACAGGAAAAACAGATAAGAACTGCTATGAAGAAGTCACTGAATAATAATTGTAGTAACAGTAATAATAATAGTGGTTAACAACTGTTAAACATTAGAAAACACTACTTTCTTGGCACATAATTCTATGCATTTAACAAATACTAATTTATTTAACCTCACCTGCATTACTGCAGTAACTCCATAACCGTTCTCACTGAATGCATTCTTGCACCCCTAAACATTCTGAACCCAGCAGCCAGTGATCCTTTTACAATGTCAGATAACACCACTCCTCTGCTCAAAACTCCCTATGGCTCCTCCGCTCAAAACTCCCTATGGCTCCCATCTCCCTGACAAGAAATACCCAAGGCCTGGTGTGAACCTGATCTCACTGCCTCTCTGACTTCATCACTCAGCTCCTCCCATCACACCCTGAAACCCCTTCTTCCTGCTCCCTCTCCTTTAACATCTCACCCAACATATACTTGAAGCTCTTACTCATCCATTTTCTTTCATTCTCTTCCCCAATCTGTAACACCTTTCCTGCTGACCACCATTTGCTCCACCTCAGCTATAGACATCAGTGTACGATTACTAAGAACCAAATGCTTCAGGTTTCAATCATTTGCTAAAAAACTATTCAGTTCTCATAGTTTTCTTACTCTTAAAACTTTAAGTGATGGATTATGATGTTAAAATATTTATAATACATACCTGCAGCTGTTGAAGATCATCTTCCTGAATGTTCTGGGACAAATTATAAATCTAGAAAACAAAACCCAACTTGATCTATTCTGACTTACTTCAAACAAATCCCAAATAAGCCTAAAGCATTCAAAAAGAAGTTTGGACACAGACTGGGTTGTGGCTCAGCGGTAGAGTGCTCACCTAGCATGTGCAAGGCCTTGGGTTTGATCCTCAGCACCACATAAAAATAAATAAATAAAATAAAGGTATTATGTCCAACTACAATTAAAAAGTGAATAAGAAAAAAAGAAGTGTGGACAATTAAAGGCTTGTGTATAAGAAAGTGAAGCCCATTCAAACAGTAGTATTATCTGTCTTTGAGGAAAAAAAAAATACAAGGTTGGAATAAAAAATTCTTCCTTTACATTATAAAATATAATTTTCCTAAGTTCTTACCAAATCTACATTTCCTACATAAAAGATATAATTTCAATTTCCAAATTTTGGACCTTTCCTAGAACATATTACATATGATTATCACCAAAGAGGAAATATAATTTAGCCCCCTTCTTGAGCTAAGAGTTTTTCTTACATCTATAGTCTAAAAAGAACATTTACATATCATCACAGGAATTTTTTTTAATAGAACAGTAACTAAAACTAGATAGACTGGGCACGCTGGTGCACACTTATAATCCCAGCAGCTCGAGAGGCTGAGACAGAAAGATCATGAGTTCAAAGCCAGTCTCAGCAAAAGCAAGGTGCTAAGCAACTCAGTGAGATCCCGTCACTAAATAAAATACAAAATAGGGCTGAGGATGAGGATCAGTGATTGCGTGCCCCCCGAGTTCGATCCCCCGTACCCAAAAGAAAAAAAAATTGATGGCCTCCCTTTATCCTATTTCCTCTTATTTTAAGTTAAGTGGTTTTTACCTGAACAGAACTAGTCATGGTGCTTAGAGCGAAAATGGTGGCACAGTCTTTCACAGTTGACTGGCTGTCAAAAGCCCCTTGTGTGTCCATCAGAATAACTGCAACCTAGAAAAATAAATACAAATAAAATATGTTGAAGAGAGAAGAGAGAAAATGTAAAGGACAGATTTGTTTACATGAGCCTCAAGCACCCACTTAGTGTCTATTAGAAAAGAACAATTATTCAGGTACCTTGCTTTGACCAGAGCACTTTGCTGGAGAACATCTGTTCTGACCCGGTGAGATGCCACAAAACAGAGGCATACAAGGCAACACAGGAGGAAAATTGCCCCACCAATCAAAACAGCCAACACTGAAATCAATCACCTCACTACCCCATCCCCCATCAGTCGTTCAATGGTTTTTCATTGTTAAAAAATAAATTTTAAAAACTAGGTAAGTGTGGTGATGCACGCCTGTAATCCCAGATACTTGGGAGGCTGAAGCAGGAAATTCACAAGCTAAAAGTCCAGCCCGGGCAACTTAGCAGGACCCTATCTTTTAAAGTTTTTTTGTTTGCTTGTTTGTTTAGTTGTAGATGGACACAATATCTTTATTTAGTATTTTTTATGGGGTGCTGGGGATTGAACCCAGTGCTTCACGCATGATAAGCAAGCACTCTACCACTGAGCCACAACCCCAGCCCAAAACTCCTTTTTTAAAGGCCTATGGATGTAGTGCAGTAATATTGCCTCCGGGTTCAATAACCAGAACTGGGAAGGAGGGGGTCCAGGGACAACTTTTGTAGTTATTAGGGCACTATTAAAGTGAGGGGCTGGGGTTGTGGCTCAGTGGTAAAGCACCAGCCTAGCATGTATGAGGCACTGGGTTCAATCCTTAGCATCACATAAAAATAAATAAAAGATATTGTGTTCATTTATAAATAAAAAATAAAAAAAATTAAAAAGAAAAAAAAGAAAGTGAAAAGGCAGGCTGGGGCTGTAGCTCAGTGATAGAGTGCTTGCCTCACAGGGGTGAGGCACTGGGTTCCATCCTCAGCACCATATAACAATAAATACATAAAAGATATTGTGTCCATTTACAACTAAAAAAAATAAAAGTGAAAAGGCAACACACACACACAAACACACAACGAGAAGGACTAGTATCTAGAATAAATAAGAAACTGTACAACTTAAAAATAAAGATTACACAATTAAAACAGATTTTTTTTTTTCAGGACTGATGATGAAACCCACAGCCTCAGTCGGGAATTGTGGCTCATGCTTGTATTCCCAGCAGCTTGGGAGGCTGAGACAGGAGGATCGTGAGTTCAAAGCCAGCCTCTGCAAAAGCTAGGCACTAAGCAACTAAGTGAGACCGTCTCTAAATTAAATACCAAATATGGCTAGGGATGTGACTCAGTGGTTGAGTGCCCCTGAATTCAATTCTCAGTACCCCCCAAAAAAGATATATAGCATCAGGTGTTGTCAAGGATATGAAAACTAAAGCCTCCTGTATTGCTAGTGAGAAAAATAGGTTGGTACAGCTACCTTGTACACAACTGTTCAAGGCAGCATTATTCACAATAGCCAGAAAGTATAAACAACCCAAATTTCCATCAACTGATGACAGAGAATGTGGCATATTCATAAAATGGATTATTATTTAGCCATGGAAGGGAGTAAAATATTGATGCATACTACATCATATATGAGCCATGAGGGCACTGAGCCTAGTACAAGAGGGAAGACATGAAAAAACACATAACACTTCATTCATGTGAAATGTCACAGAGTCATGAAGAAAGCAGAGTAGTAGTGGCCAGTGGTTGACAGAAGAGGGAAATGGGGACTGACTGCTAATGGATACTGAGGTTTCTTTTTTTCTTTTTCTTTTCTTTATATATATTTTTAATTGTTGATGGACCTTTATTTTATTTGCTTATTTATATTTGGTGCCGTCTCACACATACAAGGCAGTGTCTCACATGTACAAGGCAAGCGCTCTACCACTGAGCTACAACTCCAGCTCCCTGGGTTTCTTTTTGATATAATGAAAAGGTTCCAGAATTATATGGTAGTGATACCTGCACAGCTTAGAAGTATATTAAAAAACACAAAATAGGGGCTGGGGATATTCTCAGTTGGTAGAGTGCTTGCATGCACAAGGTCCTGGGTTCAATCTCCAGCACCACAAATAAATAAATAAATAAATAAACTGCTTCTAGATGATTAATTTTCTAGTGTTAATTGTATCTCAATAAAAAAGAGTTAATCCTGGGATGCATTTGCTAACTAGGAAAACCAGACTAAAAAAAGCAAACAAGGGGAAATACTAAAGAAAATTTCTTTGAGGGGAAGGAGTTGGAAGAAATGGTATTCTCATACCATATAATGGAATAGTAAACAGCCATAACCACTATCAAGAACATCTGTCAGTAGCTATAAAGGGTATTCTCAAGAAAGGGGAAATGAGCCTTCCACTCCCAGCAATTCCACTTCACAGTGGCTTTCTAATGTTTTGGGCTGGAAACCACTGTGAGAAATATACTTTATACCATAATCAAATAAATACACCTGTACAAAAAGCTGAAACCAGATTTTTATGCACACTCCACTATGAAAATTTCTATTCTGTTCTAGTTCTTTAAAATGTTTTAAATACTGGTTATGAGCCAATAGATTGATTTTTCTACCTCTAACAGAATACTAACAGTTTAAAAAGCTGTGGCTTCAGCCAGGCATGGTAATGCACACCTATAATCCCAGCAGCTTGGGAGGCTGAGGCAGGAGGATTGAGAGTTTGAAGCCAGCCTCAGCAACTTAGCAAGGCATTTAGCAACTCAGCAAGACCCTGTCTCTAAATAAAATACAAAAAGGGCTGAGGATGTGGCCCAGTAGTTAAGTGCCCGTGGCTTCAATCCCCAGTACCAAAAAAAATTTTTAAAAAGCTGTGGCCTCGGGCTGGGGATGTGGCTCAAGCGGTAGAGCGCTCGCCTGGCATGCGTGCGGCCCGGGTTCGATCCTCAGCACCACATACAAATAAAGATGTTGTGTCCGCCGAAAACAAAAAAAAAAAAAAAAATTAAAAAAAAAAAAAAAAAAAAGCTGTGGCCTCAAGACACAATTGCAATTTTACTCAACAAGATATTTTCAGGATGTTCACTTTAACAAAGATTATAAAAAAGGAAAAGGAAGCAATGACAATTATGAAATGTAGTATATTCTTAGGCTGTTTAATATGTAAGTTCCAGATCTTAATAATTACTGATGTTGACTCTTAGTTAAAATGCAAAAGCAAATAAAAAGAATTCTCCACTTTTTAAATCACTTAAGTTTCCAGGCTATAATCTCCCTGAGTATTTAAAAAAAAGAAAAGAAAAAGAAAATCATACTAAACTTTATTTTTGTTAACATATAAAGAATTGTTATCGGGCTGGGATTGTAGCTTAGTTGCTCAGTCGCAGTATGCTTGCCTCGAATGTGTGAGGCACTGGGTTCAATACTCAGGGCCACATAAAAATAAATAAATAAATAAATAAATAAATGTATTGTATCCATCTACAACTAAAAAAAATTCAAAAAAAAAAAAGAATTGTCATCAATATGGCATATATCCAATATAAAGCATTCCTGATCCTGCTGAAAGTTTTAACAGAATGTTTTTTAAGAGAAGGAAACATAATGGTGAGATAGTACTACATATCTGTTAGAATAATGAAAACCCAAAACACTGACATCAGATGCTGGTGAAGATGTGGAGTAAAAGGAACCCTTCATTCATTGTTGGTGGAAATGCAAAATGGTACAGCCACTCTTGAAAGTAGTTTGGCAGGTTCTTACAACACTAAACACATTCTCTATTAATAATTCAGCAATCATAGGAGAGAGAGAGAGAGGGAAAAGGGGGGGGGAGAGGGAGAGAGGGAGGGGGGGGAGGGGGAGAGAGAGAGAGAAATAGATATTGGTTGATTGATTTAACTGCCAAAATTTGGAAATAACCAAGATGTTCTTCAGCAGGTGAACACATAAACAAATGATGATACCTCCATACAATGAAATATTCAACAATAAAAATAAGCTATCAAGAAATACAAAGATATAGAGGAACCTTTTTAAAAGCACATTGTTGAGTGAAAGAATTCATTCTGAAATGGCAACATGCTGTTTGAGTCCAACTATATGACATTCTGGAAAAGACAAAACTATAAGTAAAAATATAGCTGGGAGTGGTGGCGCACACCTATAATCCCAGTGACTTGGGAGGGTGAAGCAGGAGGATCACAAGTTCAGAACCAGCCTCAGCAATTTTAGCAGGTCCCAAACAACTTAGTGAGACCCTATCTCAAAAATAAAAAAGGACTGGAGAGTAGTTCAGTGGTTAAGCACCCCCAGGTTCAATTTCCAGCACCAAAAAATAAATAAAAAATAAAATATCAGTGGATGTCTGAAATCTGGGGAGACAAAAGAAGAGAGAGAAAAAAACAGGTAAGTCAGAGAATTTTTAGGGCAATTTTTATTCTATATGGTCCAAATGGTAGAAAAACACCATTATCCATTTGTCAAAATCCACACAATGTCCAACACAATGAGTAAACCCTAATGTAAACTCTGAGCTTTAATTAATGACAAGAGAAAAAGACTGGTTCATTAAAGTGTAATCAATATATCATACACATCAGTGGGTAACTGACAGAGAATTGTAAGTGTGGGAACTCTACTTTCCAAACCATTTTCCTGTAAACCTAAAACTGCTTTTAAAAAATTAAGTTTAGTCATGTATAAGAATAAAAAAGTTTCTAGAAATTTAAATAAATTTTAAAAAATTTAAAATTTTTAAAAAAATAAGTTTACTGCTGGCACAGTGGTTTATGCCTAGAATCTCAACTATTCAGGAGGCTAAGGCAGGGGAATCACAAGATTGAGGCAACCCTGGGAAACTTCAAGAAATTTTGTCTCAAAATTTAAAATTAAGGGTTGGGGATGTGGTTCAGTGGTTAAATGCCCCTGAGTTTAATCCCCAGTATAAAAAAAAAAAAAAAAAAAATTTAAGTTAAAAAAAAAAGGGTGGCTGGTGATATAGCTCAGTGGTAGAATGCCCCTGGAGTTCAATCCTTAGTTTAAAAAAAAAAAAAAAAAAAGGGGGCACAGGTTATAAAACTATTAATATTTTTAAAAGGCAAAAAACAAAATAACAAAAAACATGGAGCTTCATAAAAGAGTCAATTCAACAGGATTTTAAAAAAAAAGAAGGACCTACAAATATCAAAAATTAAAAACAAAACTTCCTTACTACTAACTTCCTAGAAATGTCCCAAAATGTTAAGAATCAATAGTCACGGGGCTGAGACTGTAGCTCAGTGGTAAAGTGCTTGCCTCACATGTGTGAGGCACTGGGTTCAATGCTCAGCACCACATAAAAATAAAACAAAGGTATTCTGTGTCCATTTACTATTAATTTTTTTTTTTTTTTTTTTAAAGAATTGTGGCCAGGCACAGTGGCACATGCCTGTAATCCCAGCAGCTTGGAAGGCTGAGGCAGGAGGATCGAAAGTTCAAAGCCAGCCTCAACAATGGCAAGGCACTAAGCAACTAAGTAAGACCCTGTCTCAAAATAAAATACCAAATAGGGCTGGGGATGTGGCTCAGAGGTCAAGTGCTCCTGAGTTCAATCCTTGGTACAAAAAAAAAAAAAGTCAACAAATAAAATTTACATAAATTTCTTAAAAAAAAAAAAAAAAAAAAGAATTGTGTATCACCTGGGCAAAGTGTTACATACCTGTAATCCCAGCAACTCAAGAAAGAAACTAAGGCAGAAGGATCACAAATTCAAGGATAGCCTCAGCAACTTAGCAAAGCCCTAAGCAACTTACTTAGTGAGACGCTGTATGAAAATTTAAAAAAAAAAAAAAAATTTAAAGTCTAGGAATGGGGGGTTGGGAATGTAGCTAAGCTGGTAACATGCTTGACTTTCATACACAAGGCCCTGGGTTCAATCCCTAGTACCACCAAAAAAAATAAGGCTAGGAATGTAGCTCAGTAGTAAAGCATAACTGGGTCCAACCCCCAGTACCCAAAAACAAAAACAAAAAAATTGTGTATCAACTCTTCAGCTCCCAATCCTATATTAGAACTTAGATTAGGGAAAGGTTGAAACTGAACAACCAGAAAGGGGATGTGAAATCTTCTGAGGCTGGAAAGACTCAGGCACAAACAGCTACGAAGGCATAGGGCTAAAAACAAGGAATGGTATAAAGTCAGTGTAAGAAATACAAGACCTGCTCTCCCAATCATATAAGTTGTGAAGAGGCTCTGCAACTGCAGCTTATTAGGTATGGATGCCACCAGATGGGAAGCTTACTAGGGCTGGGGAATGAATGCCCACCTTCTCCATAGTGAGATAGCCTACTGCCCTCTCTCTAATCAGTTCTCACAACAATGATAATAGGTATGTGCCACTCATGACGTGAACAGGGACAAGAAGTAAAAAATAGAGGTAACATTCTTAACAGTGAAAGCAAAGCCTCTAGAAAGTGAAAACTGGGAAAGGGAAGAACAACACATTGACAGCTACTTCCTGTTAGAAGCCTTACAGAAGAATCATGTAGTTGAACTTTTACACATTATGTCCACATGTTATTTTTAAACCATACACTTACAACACTTTGATTAAAAATAGTATTTTTTAAATGAATTAACACAGTATACTTAAAGTTCACTTTTTTGTTGTTTTTCTTTTCTTTTTGTTTTTTTGTTTTCATCCTTACCTTCTTCCCACCTGGCTTCTCCACAGTGAAAACATCACTCCAGATCTGAATCCCAGTGGTTTCTGGGTCAGAGCCTCCTCGCCATGAAAATCCTGTTAATGGTTCTTCTGGGTCACCCAACCAATTTGAATGGCCACCTTCCTTCTAAAGGAGAAATAAAACATTTCCATTAATTTGCCATTTTTTTCCCCATTCATTACTGGAGATCAAACCCAAGACCTTACCTCATAGATACAAGGCAAACACTCTATTACTGAGCTATACCCCAGACCCCTCCACTAAATCTTTTTTTTTTGTGGGGGAGGGGGACGGGAGTAACCAGAGATTGAACTCAGGAACCCTTTACCACTGAGTCACAGTCCCGGGGTTTTTTTTTTTTTTTGTATGTGTGTGAAACAAGATCTAAGCAACTTAAGACTAAATTGCTGAGGCTGACCTAGAACTTGTGATCCTCAGCCTCAGCCTCCAGAGTTGCTGGGATTACAAGCATAGCCTGTAGCACAGCCTGGGCCTCAATTAAATCGAAAACAAGTAATTTTACACATCAAGGATAATTCAAGAGTTTATTTTGCTTTTTTGGACATAAAAGTCTCATTTCTCACCATGAGATAAACTAATTATCCCTTACCTGAGAATATAAGTATCGCAGCATAAAATCCAGAATGAAGGATTTGCCCTTTCGGAAGGCACCAGCCACTGACACAACCACCACATCGAGATCTCGGATATGGTCCTGCAGAAGAATGCTAGCCAACGCTTTTTCTTCTAGCTCAAAGGAATGCTGCTCTTTCTGAACCAAAACAACTTGCACTGGACCAGGCTTTCCGCTTTCCATGGCATCACCTACGTTAACGTTGTGAAAAAATATTAGTTTTAAACTCTTTTAAACACACATACATACACAAATATAAACATACATATAGACAACATGTATACATATAAAAGTTATTATTTACCGTACTACGGATTGAACCCAGTGGTATTCTACTACCTAGCTACATCCCCATCCCCAGTCCTTTTTTTTTTTTTTTAAAGAGAGAGTGAGAGTGAGAGAGAGAGAGAGAGAGAATTTTTTAATATTTATTTTTTAGTTTTCGGCGGACACAACATCTTTGTTTGTATGTGGTGCTGAGGATTGAACCCGGGCCGCACGCATGCCAGGGGAGCACGCTACCGCTTGAGCCACATCCCCAGCCCCCCCCCACTTTTTTTTTTTTTTTTTTTTTGAGATAAAGTTTCACTAAGTTGCTTAGGCTCCACTCGAACTTGGGATCTCCTCCTATCCTAGCCTCCGTGCTCACTGAGATTCCAGGTTTGCACCACCACACGGAGCTTAATACATTTTAACATGGAAAGAGCAAAAACTTCTTAAACAGGGCACAAATACACTAACCATAAAAAGTGAAAAACAAGCCAGGCGTGGTGGTGCACACCTACAATCCCAGAGGTTTGGGACGCTGAGGCAGCAAGATCTTGAGTTCAAAGTTAGCCTCAGCAACAGTGTGGTATTAAGCAACTCAGTGAGACCCTGTCTCAAAATAAAATACCAAATAGGGCTGGGGATATGGCTCAGTGGTCGAGTACCCGAGTTCAATCCCCAGTACCCAAAAAACTAAAAATAAAAAACAACAAATTTAGACTTCATTAAAATGAAGAATGTCCATTAAAAAATTCCAATAAACGAGTAAAAGCCATAGACAAGGAGAAAATATTCACAATATCTATTTTCAAAGGACTCACATCCAGAATCAGTAACTCTATAAGAAAAAGACAGTCCATTTGTTTAAAATAATAATAATGGGGAAAGACTATGAACAGGAATTTCACCAAAAAAAAGGGATACCCAATAGTCAAAATCATTACTTATCAAGGAGATGAAAATTAAAACTCTTGCCCACGTCCTGCGCAGGGGAAGGAAAGGGTTTCCTTCCAGAGGGATGGGCTGGCTGAGAAATAGAAGCTAAGAAAAGTAGTACCATAGAGCACTTGCCTAGCATGTGTGAAGCACTGAGTTCGATCCTTGGCACCACGTAAAAATAAACAAATAAAACAAAAGTATTGTGTCCATCTATAACTAAAAATTAAAAAAAAAAAAAAAAGAAAAGTAGTACCATAAAATAACCACAGAACACAGAAAAGTACAGTTTCAAAGCCAGGACAGTGATAGGCAAAGCTGACCAGATGGGTCCAGCTTGTAACAAAGAAGGGAGCCTATGCTTACTTTATTTATATCAGGACACATCAAAGAAATTCTATAGAAAGTTCTTCACCAAAACAGGTAGGGGCAAGTATGCTGCTGGGTCCCTAGCAGGTCACGCCCATCTCCCATACTGCATGAGACCTCTTAGCAGAGCTTGGGGGAGAGGACGGTTTGCTTGCTTACATTTGGGCAATCTTACCCAATGGGACTGCCACAGGACATTCCCAATACCCAGATCTACCCGCTCAGTGGCCACCATGCTGAAATAGGTCTTCACACATTTCACGATGGCTTCCCGCATAAAACCACATCCTGCCTAGCAGAATAGCTAAAAATTTTCAAGTATGACAATATCAACTAAGGGAAAGGATATGGAACAACTGGAATTCTCATGCATTCTAATGGGAGTATAAAATAGTACAGGCATTTTGCCAGTGCATACTAAAATTAAACATATCCTAGGATCCAGAATTCAAGCCTAGAAAGCTTGAATAAGAATGTTCACATCAGCCTAACTCAAAGTTGTCCAAAAGTGGAAATAACACAAATGTCCATCAAAGGGTGTCATCTGCCACTGCAAAACCTTCTATATATGTCATTTAATCTTCAGAACAACCCTATGAGGTAAATAATATGTCCCATTATAAAAACAAGGAAACTAAGGCTTAAAAAAGCTTTAGTATCTTGCACAACAGGTCCCGGAGATAAGTTGGAAAAGATCTTTTCAGATCTATGTTTTGCAGATGATTTTTTGGGAGGGGGTACAGTAGTGGGGATTAAATCCAGTGGCACTCTACTACTGAGCTACATTCTAGACTTTTTATTTTGAGACGGGGTCTCACTAAGTTGCCCAGGCTGTCCTGGAACTTGCCACCTTCCTGCCTCAGCCTCCAGAGTCACCAGGATTACAGGCATGTGATACCTCATCCAACTTGCAGATCATTCTCAATAACTGTCAACATTTCAGGGGCTATTAATTCTATAGTTGAAAAGTAAGAATTAACAAGTACTTTCTCTACCAGAGTTGAGAGCACAAAGAAATTTGCTTTGAAATTCAAAGCCATTTAGTAATTGTGGATTTATGGAAAGTTTACAAAAATTGCCAGTGAGGGGTGGGATGGTGGCTCAGTGGTAGAGCGATTGCCTGGCATTGTGTGAGGCATTGGGTTCAATCCTCAGCACCACATAAAAATAAATTACAATAAAACAAAGGTATTGTGTCATCTACAACTAAACAAAAAAAACTTCCAGTGAGGCTAGAGAATAGGCAAAGCCCTACCTAGTTCTCTATACTTGCCTCTTATTTTTTTAGGTAGTTCAAAAGGACATTCACTAATAATTATATATCTTAATGTATATTAGAAAACACCACACCAGCAATTCAATAGATTGTTGCTTAGAGGGAGGCTAAGTCTAAAGAATAGATCAATTCAGATTTAAGGACACATTTTAAGTAAAGCATATTAGATAGGCAGGTATGACCCAAATCACAAATATGTTCCAAATGGCTTTCATCTGAAAGGCACTGAAGGTCGCATGGTTAGAGCATGCAAAGCATACAAATCGGCTTGAATCTCAGGCTCTACCCTTTAAGCTACTGGAACCGCTAACTCACTTTTTATACTAGCAATATCAGCAACAAAAAGGTTCTTCTCACTTTTTATTTCTTTATAGACTCTGAGAAAACAATTTATAAATATAGATAAAAATATAAAAATATGCTATAGTGATAAGAAAGATATATTAATACTTGTCCTCCCTAGATAGAATTTCTGTGGATAACCTTTTAGGGTTCATAATGCCAAGTAACAGATAAATCCAAAACCTAAAAGAAATCAAGAATTTATCAGTCAGGCACAGTGGCACTTGCCTGTAATCCCAGTGACTCAGGCAGAGGCAAGAGGATCACAAGTTTAAGGCCAACCTGGACAATTTAGAGGGTCCCTGTCTCAAAATAAAGAAGGAAGGAGGATGCAACTCAAAGGTAGAGTAGTTCAATCCCCAGTACCACCAAAAAAATAATTATTAAAATAAGAATAAATTATTTATACCTTATGGATAAGGCACAGTGCTAAGTACCATGCAGTATTCAAAGAAGTACAAAACTAAGTTCTGATTGTGGCAGAGATGGCTGGTCATTCCCCCAATATTCATATCCTCCTTCTACTTTGTAACAGATTTTTAGCCAGGCATATAACTACCCAAAAGAAACAAATTTCTAAGCAACCTTGTAGCTGGAATATGACCATGTGACTTAAGTTCTGGCCAATGGGAAATGACATAGGCAACTTCCAGGGCAGGCTTTTTCCCCCTTTAGCTGTCTGAATGTACAAGTAGGAGTGAGTCATCCTGGGCCAGTAGATGTAAGCAACACCCTAAAATACTGAAGTAATAGGACAGGCAGGGCCTAGGACTTTGTACAGTGGAGCTGCCATACTGGTTCACTCTTAAAAGAATGAAAAACAAATGTCTGTCTTACTTAAATCAATTATTTGGTGGCTCCTTCAGGTACAAACCTAGAAACCAGCCACTAAGTAGCTGGGACTAAAGGTGTATACCACCATGCCCAGCTGAAGACAGTCTTTCCTCTCTTGCTTCCTACAATACCCAAGAATAAAGGAGCACAGGCTGTGTTTAGTTCAGAGAGCTGGAGTGATCCTCACTTTTCAACACACCATCTCTCCCTCTTGCTTTCTATAGACAACAAAACTATATTACTAATCTTCCAAGTAAAAACTTCATTTCCACTCATCTCTTTTCAAATATCAGATAAAGGTCCTTTGCTAATCCTCATATTTCAGATGCCCCAATCTCTTAGAGCCTTTATCAAACCCTCTCCCCTACAACATGTCACCTTCCAACTTTGCTGTTCAGTTGATTATCCAAGTCACAGTTCTCAGGTGTTCCTTTGATGATGTCATCACATTCCTTAGGACTGAATCTTCTACTTCATTACAATACATATATAACATATACAACAGCAACTGTGGATGGATGGCTCAAAACTAAAATCTCCATCCTTCAAGTTGAAGCTTTTCACCATTCTTTTTTGTTTCTTTTAATTTTGATGGAATTTTTTTTTAATTTATTATATGTGGTGCTGAGAATTGAACCCAGTGCCTCACACATGCTAGGCAAGCACCCCACCACTGAGCTATAACACCCCTGCCCAGCCTTTCACCATTCTCCCACTGTCTTCTTATTTCCTCTAATTCTTCAATCTCCTTGTCCTCCCAGGAAAATTTATTCTCTTTGGTCTTCCTATTATTAGGAGAAAGTCAAGGATTAAAGCTGGGCATGATGGTGCACACCTGTAATCTCAGTAATTCAGGAGGCTGAGGCAAGGGGATCACAAGCTCAAGTCCAACCTGGGCAATTTAGCAGAGACTGTCTCAAAAAGAAAGGGCTGGGAGTGTAGCTGAATGGGAGATTGCTTGCTTAGCACATGTAAGACCCTGGGTTAATCCACAGTTACCACAAAAGACAGTCGGTCCATCCATCCTCAGGTACCAACCAGCCCTGCTTCCAAGTTTCAAATGAACAACCTATTTAATCATTTGTTTTAATGGCCTGAAATGCTCCTTCCCCCTTGACAGCAAGTAAATACTTGCTCATCCTTCAATACTCACCTTCAGAAGAAGCC